TCAAGTCACTGTAGGGTTGCAACTTGGGAGCTAGGGTGACATAATTAGATTTGACTCTAGATCACTTTGTCAACTATGTAGAGGGAGAAGTCTGGACTCAGGGATAGGGAACAGCTGGGAGTCTATTTCTATTGTGTAATGCAAGAAAATGAGGCTTTCCCTTAAAATATGTTGAACTGTGGTATCAGTGAGATCATCACGTGGAGATGGCGGTGACAGCTAGGTATGCAAATTTGCTGGACTGGAGGAAGAGATTTGAGATTTTTAGCATGTGGATGGTCCCTGAAATCTTGAATGAGAAATAAATCCCCTTGAGAACCTGAATACTGTGAGGAGAGTGATAGCTAAAGATATTGTTTTGAAGATAACCAACATTTAAGGAGTGGTCAGAAGAGAAGGCCCATAAAAGTAAAGTAAAAAGATAACTGGGAGAGTGTGATGTCATTGATGCCAAATAAAGAATTAGTTTAAAGAAGGAAGGAATGATTCCCACACCCAAATGTAGCAGACGAGTCTAGTAAAATAAGAACTGATTGATATCTGTTGAACTTGGCAGCGTCAATAAAAACGACAACAAAACGAATGTCAAGTAGGAAGGTGAGCACGAGCCATTCTACCTTGAATTCAGAGTTAATAGAAGGTGGAGAGATGGACCACCTGGGATGTTTGGACAGAAGGTAACAGGACAAAGGCACAAAAGGTCATAAAATAAAAATTGTCCGGGTGATCTGCCAGTGTTTAGACTGGATCTAAAACAAAGGCTGCATTTGATGAATGAGATTATGGAATTTAAGATTTCAGAAATGAAGCAGTTTAGATGATGACAAGACCCAAGGCATGGCTTTGAGTGTAGGTAAAGAGAAGTATGAATTTAAGTTTGTGTGCTGAACTATCAGATTTAGAGAGAGTTAAAATATTCAACTACAAATCTTGATTCACTTTTCCATAGAATTCTGACAGTTGTGTATATTTTTAGGTGCATATGTGTTCGTGATCACTTGGTATTATTTTTCCTTCAGATTTTAACCTTGAAATTTATATTGCTTAATATGAATACCACTACTGTGGATTTCCTTTTTGTTATATTTATGATACTTTATTTAACCTTGTTTCAGCTTTTTCTGTTTTATTTTAAATGTGTCTCTTATAGACAAAATATTACAAAACCTTTTAAAAATCCAATTTGAGAGTTTCTCAATCAGTATCTTAACTCATTTACATTTTTGTATTTACTTTAATATTAGGATTTAATTTTTTTTGTCTTAAGTTACTATACTTTCTGTTTCTTTGCCCTCTTTTTTCTATCTTCCATTGGTCAGTTGAATATGTGAAGCTTTTTATCTTTTTTTCTGTTTGTTATGCCCAATATTTAAAAAGTCATCATTATGTTTTTTTCTACATCTATATCCTTGTTTAATGTTATATATGTCATATTCTTAAGTAAACATCTACTTTAGTATGGTCTCAACTCCTTGTTGTCATGTACCTTTCTGTATTGATATTTATAGAATTAATGTATGTATAAAATTCATGTATATGTACATATCAATAGAAATACATAAATAAATATTATACATGTATGTGTCTCTCTATATATCATAGAGTTACTTAGATCACAAAAAGTTTACTGTCCTTTACTTATTTTTTTTGTTTTGTATCACTTTCATGGTTTTATTTACCTTCTGACTGGAGTATTCCTTAATCTGTTTTTAAAAGGTCTTTTTGCTTCAAAGTTTCTGTGTTTTTATATCCAAAAAGAATACGTAAAAGTTACTTTGTTGGCTTTAAATGTGTAGGTTCAAAGTTCTTTACCTCTAATATTTCAAGTATTATCCCATTTTCTTCTTGCACTCAGTGTTGTTTAAAAGTTTCATCCATGTTCTTTTGTAAACCTTTATTTTCACATATCTGAAAATGTATGTTTTCCTTTGTCCTTGAATCTTACACTTTCTATGCCTATTATATCCATTTTTGTTTTTGTCAAGAAATTTGCTCTTTCTTTGTATTTTATAATCTTATTACTTTGAGAATCTTACTTGCTGGTTTGTAATTCTTATTTTGTCTGATTTATTAATTCTGTTTCGTCTGATACAAAATGGTGTGTTTGTTGTCTTTTTAAAATAACAAATGGATTCTTAGGTTTTTAATTATGTAGATACTTATAAGTTGTGAAGGTTTTAGCCTGGATTTTAGATTTTAACATCCATTCAGATAATGGAAAAACCGAAAATAGGGGAAAAAGTAGTCATGTAGGTAGATGATAGAAATGAGGGATAGTGGTGTTAAAGGCGAAGGCATAGCTTCCAAAGGTGGGTGAACTTTCACAAGTAACAAAAAAAAAGTTTCTTTCTAAAATAAGGGAAGCTAAGCATGCTTTATTGTCAAAGTGAAAAATTAAAGAGACCATGTCATTTATGACGTAAGCTTCCAGAGAGAAAATAGATGAATGATTTATGTGTAATTTTTACTGAAGCCACTGCAAGTATCTAAAGGAAAAACACTTTGTTTAGCAATCTTCTCAGATCTTCTTCATATCTTTTCATTACAAGGTTTTTGCCCATTTAGTGGTAAAATATGAGTAAAATATCACAAAATAAAAATTCAAGTTTAATAACAATCAAGAATTCACTTAAAGAATTTCAGATACTGGACTAACCAAAAGAAACAAAGTATGCACATGTATTAACTTAAGATTCTTTAAAATCTCTCTATGGACAGGAATTTAACATCTGACCATGGCTGGAACTGCACCCTTCACTGTAGTACCCATGAATCCACGAACCACATGTGGCTATTTGAATTAAAAGTTAGTTCAAATTCAAAAACTTATTTTATTTTTATTTTTTGGAGGGGTCTCACTCTGTTGCCCAGGCTGGAGTGCAGCAGCATGATCTCTGCTCACTGTAGATTTTGGCTTCCTGGTTCAAATGATTCTCCCACCTCAGCCTTTGAAGTAGCTGAGACTACAGGTGTGCACCATCTTGCCTGGCTAATTTTTGCATTTTTTGGTAGAGACAAGGTTTCACCACATTGGCTAGGCTGATCTAGAACTCCTGATCTCAAGTGATCCACACGCCTCCCAAAGTGCTGGGATTACAGGTGTTAGCCACTGCACCTGACCAAATTCAATAACGTTTTAAAAAATTAAATGCAATTAAAATTTCAGTTTCTCAGTTACACTAGCCACATTTCATGTGTTTAGTAGTCATATGTAGTAAGTTATTATTGTTAATATATTGGTCATTTCAGATATAGGACATTCCCATCATTGCATAAATTTCTGTTGGATACCACAGGCCTTGAGAATTCTATGACATCAGTTTCTTGCATGCTTTTCTACTTCATCTGTAACCACTCTTGTCCTTGTGCAATCTGCTGTATTCCCATTAGTGCTCATTCTTTCTCAAACATGTTAAACTTGTTCCTACATTAGGTCTTTCTCATTCCCTTCCCAAGGACCACCTTTTCCCATGTTATTCTTATCTCTGTTCAAACATCAGTCAATCTTTCTCTGAAGTACTTTCTAAAATAACAACCATTTAATCAAGCTCTATTCTCTACCTGCTTTAATATTTTCAGCCCACTGTTTGTTATTAAGCTGTTTATGGGTCTGTTTCCTTAAGAATTTGAGCTGCATAAGAGTGAGAATTTCATGCTGTTGGCTATGGTAGCTCCAGTTCTAACCACAATATCTCACAATAAACATTGCTTGGTTAATATTTGTTAAGATATGAATAGTGTTCCATATATTTTGGAGCATCTTAGTAGAATTCTCTGAACACTTAATTCTGTTAAGTTCCTAGATATCTTGCTTTGAAGATAACATCAATAGAATTATGAGATATTTTTCCATATCTATCAGGGTATACTCTCAATTGTATCTGCATATATCATGGGAAATTCACAGTACTACAGTTAATTAAACATTCACAATATCTTTGATTTTATATCACATTTTAAAATTACATTAAATGGAATATGATGGAAGAGAAGAGAGCAAGGGCTAGAGCAGAGAGAGAGATAAAAAAGAGAGAAAGAAACAACCATTTTTTAAACACTTAAGCTTTTAAAACCTACCTCAGCTGAAGTACAGAAGGGGAGAAAAGTTTCTATTTTAGAAAATAATTGAGAAAGGAAATAGAAAGCCAATGAGGTTTGGATTATAGATCCAAATTTCTAGGATGTCAGTCCTTCAACCACCACTCACTCACTATATAATCTGGGACAGATCATTGAATTTTTTTTCTCTCAGTTTCCTTTTCTGTATAGTAGAGTACTCATTTCACAGGATTATTATAAATATTAAGTGAATGATGATGCAAAGCACTTAGAACAGTGCATGGTACTTCTAATGCACTATAAAAGTAATTTTTATTGTTACTATTTAAAATGTCCATGATTATTGTTGTTTTTGCTGCTGCTATTGCTGTTATCTATTATTATTGGTCTTTAGAGAAGGTAGAATGAAATGTTTCCATGTATTCTATATCTACAGGAATGTACTGGCAAATATTTAATGATGAATATTTAGAGATCCGCATGTAAGATGCAATCATGCAATCAGCACATTAAAAAAAAAAATAAAATTTGTGGAAGGTATTCTCTGTGCATATCAAGTATAGGGACTCTGTCTGCCTAGAGATATTTTATGATAACCACTCTATTTATGTGGATACTGATTTCCAAGAGGCTAGCTCAGGGTGCTTTGCCAACTTGTCAACTGTCAGCCTTTGGACAAAAGTGCAAGGAAAAGCAAGAAACCAAAGATCATCAGACCAAAGATTGTCAAGATTCCTGTATTTTGTATTCTAAAGTAGTCTGTGTTTATATACATACGTTATATTGAGGTTATATATATATATATATATATATATATATATATTCAATTTAAATTGTCTAAAAAACTTTTAAAGATTGCTAGAATTTTTCTCTCTGATTTCAGACTGAAGCACAACTTTTATCATTATGTACAATATTCTAAATGTATTATATTTTGCTAGATGGAGGACGTTATTGAGGATATAATCGATATGGAATCAAGTTTTAAAGAGGAAGGAACAGACTCTCCTCTGCTAATGCAAAGAACAGTAAGTGCTTTCAGACCCAAGAAGGTCATTGAAACTGAAATGAATACACACTGATAATATATATATACATATATATATATATATATATATATATATATATATATATATGTTTGATTAGCAAATGGTATTTTTTTCTGCACTTTGAAACAGACAAGATAAAGATGAATACTAGAAAATATTTATTGGTGCAGAAAAAAAGATTTCCTAATAGTTGAGGAAGAATATAGTGCTTGTACTAATCTCTCTCTTTCTCTCTCTCTCTCTGTCTCTCTCTCTCTCTCTCTCTCTCTGTGTGTGTGCGTGTGTGTGTGCATGTATGTATCTAATTCTATATACATGCATCTAACTATATATCTAATTTGCTAGCATTTTCTGTAAGGAATTTAATCTTTAGATTTTTTATTTTAAGCACAGCATATAATCAAACACCCTTAAAAGGTCATGACTACATTTTGACTATTTTCCCATGGCTAATATAGCTTTCAGATTCAGAGACTCTATACTTTTGTAGAAGAAAGAAAATATTACAAGAATGAAAAATATAAATTTACTTCTAAGCCAATAGCCAGAGGTTAAACTCAAATTGAAAAAGAAAGAACAGGCCTCACCCTCCTTTAAAGCATGTAGAAAGACTTCTGTGTTGAAATCGGTACAAATTCCTGGAATACTACTCAGTGAAGGAATAGTGTCTTATCTCCTATTTGCTTACTGTGTGCCTTCTGATTGTTCATTTATGAATCATAAAAATGTTATCTGTAAAGGCTGTATAAGCTCTTTTAACACATTTTGAAGGATTATTGTTGGTTTGTTTATGGTTTGCAATCTTTTAGAGAACAGAAGAAGAAAGAATCTCAAAGATTGCAACTAAATTGTTACTTTAAACATTTATTTTTTTAAAAAAGTGAATTCTGACTGTACTGAGTATTGTGGACTATTCATCAATAAGTCAATAGGCTAGACTACATTTTGATGGATGTTTTCAATTTAGGGTCTAGAAAAATTGGTGGTGGAGGCATCTTTTTTCTTTTCTGTATCAATTCTTGAGTAGGTTATCTAATGAGAGAAATGTCTCTCCTTTTCTCTACTATGCAGGACCTCCACAGAGTGCAAGTCAAATCACCAATATTAACTTTACCTGCTAAATATCAGATGAGGTTCAAAATCCGTTTTTTGTCGCAGGATTTTTTTTTCAGTTTTCACTTTTTTGAAGTATAGAATAATGATTCTACCTTTTTTCTCTTAAGATTTCAGGTAGTATAGTGACATAAAAACTGATTATCTAGATACATATGATATTAAGGCTAATATCTCCCTTTCTAATTTCACAGCATGAGGATACTATTTTCTTAACTAGTATTCAATTTCTGAGTTTAAGGAAGTAATATTAATTTCCTGCAAGCTTCTCTTCTTTGTACATGGTACTTACTTCATTGAAATTGTGTACTGATACATTCTCTGTCAAATTATTTACTTGTTCTGTAGAATCTGTGTAGAATGGCCTACTCAGTAAAACATTGGTGATGAATTCTGTTGGGAATATGCTTTTCATATACAGAATGTACTTTTAAATAGACGGATACTACTGGCCTAAGTGTATTCACATAAAGAAATGTCTGCTGTTGACCAACCAAAGATTATTGATAATTCTAGATCCACACATAAAACCAAGCAGTTCAATTAACCAAATATTCACTGAAAACTTATTCTATGTAAAGCATAATATTCACACAGTACGATACTGCAAGCTGAGTGAAGCATAATTCACATGTCAAGAGATGACAATATAATGGGGCAGCACAGTGAGTTGTGCCTGAGAGTCAGGGAGGGAAAGAATATGGAACTTGTGTCAAACTCGGTTCTAATCTAGAAATTAAGCAGATCACTTAACATGCCTTTTCTTTGGCATCTGTTTCTGTATTATGAGAATAATTAAAAATATTGGTGTCTGAAGGCTTTTTAAAATTGATATAGACTACATGTGTGCATTTTAAATGCTTGTCAGAGATTTGCTGTGAAGCTCAAACGAAGGAGAAACCATGCGAAAGTAAGAATTTTTGGAAGTCCTTTAGAAAGAGGTGATGTTTGAAATATAGTTATGAAGTACTGTATAGTTAAGATTTTAAGAGATAGACATGAAGGCAGAAAAGTAGCAAGTTAAGAGAACAACATAAGGCAAGAAGTGAGAAAAAAGAGAATGTACAAGAATAGCTGGTAGAATAGGGGTAGGAAATTCTGAAGGATTTTTATAGTTTATGTAGATAAAAGCAAAGACTTGTTAGATTCAGAAAAAGCTTTGAGTAAGTATATTAGCCAGTGAACTTTTGGTTGCAGGTGGTTAACCTGACTCATAAGGGGCTTAAGCATGAAAGGAATTTATTGGTTCATGCCATCTAAAAATCCCTAAGTAATATTGTATGTGGGCATCCCTTTGTAAATTTGTCTCTGTTTTCTTCTGTGCTGGCTTTATTCTCAGCCATTGAACAGACACTGTCATAGCCTATTCCCAGCCATGCATACACTTTTTTCTTGCTAACCTAGTTTTTTTCAGACATCCATTCCTTCACAAGAAAAAGGAAGTTTCTGATTAATTTAAACCAATTCTGGTGGCCCCATTTCCCTTGCCAGAGATTGTTTTAAGAATGGGCTTGTGCTGCAATTTTGGCAAGTTGAGCAGGATACCGAGAACTGCTTGGAAGTTTTCTTCAGTCTGTACTTTGAAGAGAGAAGGGTTTTTGCTTCTCTATGATGTTATAGGACAATATGATTTATGGGGCTGCTGTATCCTTTTTTTTTTTCTTTCTAACCAAAAGGTAGATAAAGTGAGGAAAAACAAAAGAAACAAAGGGAAAGAGAAAATCAACAGATACACGAAGAAATGTTGCTTATATGCCCCTGGAGAATTATTTTGCCTATGGATTTTATATTATGTAAGGATTTTTTTTCTTTATTTTATAACCTGATTATGCCAGGAGTTTCTGGTTCTCATAAACAAATGCATCCTAATGAAAATATTCAGTTAGGATGGAATACCTAAGAAAAAATCTTTTTCTTCTTAGTTCCAGTTAACACTCTGGGATAAAACAGCAACTTCTGTCACGTATCTATTTCTAAGCCAGTGTCTCTGGGTCTTGGGCCCATGCTAGCACTGTGGCTTGAGCAGCCCTCCACAACACATTGTCCAGACTAAGAGTGAGAACCAAGAAAGTAGTAGTTGTTACCCAAGCAAAGGTGAATAGATTCTAGTCAGGCTAAATCAACAGATGTTTATTACAGTAGGCTTCAAAAATGAGAATATTTATCAATAAGTATTATTATGTTTACCTACTATGTGACAAGGGTTGTCTGTGTTAGTCCATTTTGCATTTCTATAAAGGAATACCTGAGGCTGGGTACTTTATAAAGAAAAGGGGATTATGTGGCTCATGACTCTGCAGACTGTATACAGGAAGCCTTACCCCAGCATCTACTTCTGGCGAGGGCCTCAGGAAGCTTCGGTCGGTTGTGGTATAAAGGAAGAAGAGCCAGAGTATCATGTGGTGAGAGAGGGAGTAAGAGAGAGGGGAGAAGTTGCCACGCTCTTTTAAATAATCAGCTAGCATGTGAATGATAGTCCTAGCTCATTATCTAAAGCCAGCCCTACCACTTGTATCTGGGATCCCTTCCAAAGGACTTGATTTTTTTCTAAATCTCTCCTCCTCCTGGATCATCAGTGTATGCTGATCTACTGGATTATAAATATCAGCATTTATCAGCCTTAATAACACTCACTAAAAGCAAACCAAACCAAACAGCTTCCTTTGAACGCATTTCCTCTCTGGCTACCAGGCTATTTCATGACTCCTTTACACACACACACAAACCTCACTGCCCACATTTTCTCCCTGCCTCCACTCCCTTCCCTCTCATTCTCTCATCTCCAGTAGAGATTTGTCCTCTGCAGGGCTCTGGAAAACAATCAGTGCAAAATCCAATAGCAAATTCTCCATTCTTACTTGACTTTGTGTCTCAGTGGGATTTGACATGGTTGACCACTTCCTTCTTGAAGAGCTATCTGGGATTCTGTGGATTCTCTGATTTTTCACTCATTCTACTGGTTCTTTTTCCTCTAAGAGATGCCTAAGTTCTAGAGTGTCCCAAGGCTCAGTCTTCAATCCTCTTTTCTCATATATCAGTACACATCCTATAGGTAACATCAACACATCTCTAGCCTAGATCATTCCCCTATATGCCAGACTCATATATTCTACTGCTTACTTGATTATCTTTTGTGGTTCTAACAGACATCTTAAATTTAACATAGCTGAAAAGAAGTCCTCCCTCCCAAATCTGCTTTTAGTTTATGTGAAACAAGCAAACACAAACAGCCATTCTTTGCTTTTCTCTCTCTCTTACTCCCGTACCCACATCTATCAGGATATCTTTGTAATCCACAATTTCCAGAATCTCACAGCTTCCTATCATGTCCTCTTGTAAAACACATTCTGTGATCTCTCACTACTGCCACAGGCCCTGACCTATCTTCCCTGCTACTTTTTGTTCCCTTACAGCTGTTCTTCACAGAGCAGCCAGAAGAATCTTCCGAAAGCAATAATCCTGTTTCTCCTTGCTTAACATTTTATTAACTTTCTGAAACACTCAGAATATAATCCAGACACTTTATTGTAGTCAGCACTTCCCTTTCACTTCAGGGTCCGGGTTCAATGGCACCCTTTCTCCTCCTTAAACATGACAGGAATATTATCATCTTAACACCATTGCACTTCCTTTTCTTAGTTTGGAATGCTTTCATCTCAAAACTTTGCATGGTTACCTCTTAATGATTCAGATCGTTAGTCAATGTCAGCTTGTCAAAGGGGCCTACCACTATTACCCTAACTGTAAGACCCTACCCCATGACTCCTCAAATCAATGTCTTATTTTATTTATCCTCTGACTTATGAATAGTGTAACACAAGTGATCTTATTTATTACTGCATTTACCTATTTAATCTGTGCTTCCA